GATAACATGAATGATTTGATTGAATCAAATAAATTCTTTAGTACCAACCAATACAAAAGAATTTAAACATTACATTGTACCGAATCGAATAAATTTCATGAAGAACTTAAGACATCAAACTGAATTGCGACATTTTGCTCGGGAAAGACCGGTTTAGGATCCCCGAACCAAACTCTAAACCACCATATTTCCAATTTCCAGTGATATTACTACGTAGAACCGGTCTTTGACTCGACAATTGAACCGGAGGATTCCTCCATTTCGGAATCGGACCGGTTATGAACAATGACTCAACCAACGATCCAGCTTCACTAACAGTTTGCAAAAACTTACCGTTCTCCGGCAACACACCTCCGATCATCTCCAACACAACCGTCTCAAAATCTCTCAGATTCTCAACACCAGAACCCATTTTATTAGATTGGAAGCTGTAAGAATCAGAATCACAGCTCGCCGGCGAGGGATTATTAACAACTGAGTTGGAGACGAAATCCATCGGCGGTGCGGACGAGAATTGTGACGGAGAGTCGCCGGAGAATTGATCGGTGGCTTCGTCTGTGGTTTGTGGGTAATAAAGGGAAAGTTTTTGTTCTTCAGACAACAAAATGGTGTCGAAGAGTTCCTGAAACTGAGAGAGTTTCGTGAGTGAATGTTTCAGATGCTCTCTTGCTTCGTCTCTTTCTTGGACCGCAAGTCTCCATAGATGATAAAACTGCAGAGTTTCTTGGTACATTTTTGTGAAGATTGTGAATCGAGAAGGATGAAGAAGATTTAAGAAATGTGAGATTTATTTTTTTAGTATAATTAACTTAGAGTTTATACATTTTATATAAACGTGTAGGTTTTAGTGTTCTAATTCAATGTCATATACATTGTGATGGAAAGTTTATTTATTCTTTACGAGTTTGTGATTATTGGAGAAGATCCTAGTGATTCACTTGCACCAAAAATATCAGTATATAAGGTGATAAGACAAATCTAATTAGGGAAATATAAATATTTAGATTGACTTACTCTTTAACTCTTAAGAGTGAAATACGGAAATAGCTATTAATTACCTTAGATATCGTATGCTTTCGATATATACTAGGACTAGGATAATGTGATATGCGAATAAAATTAATATAGTTTTAGTTTAAAAAAATTATCTATAGTTATTGGAAAAATTATGATACGAAATCTAAAACTTGTTTATATATATGAATTTCACAATTATTTTGTAGTATTCCACCCGTGAAATAATTAAAAATAATAATTTTTTCGTTTTTAGTCAATATATACCACTTATTAATTAAATGTATTTACTTAATATCATAATCTTCAAAAAATACGTTTATGACTCAAATATACAAAACAAAATATTACAAATATGAATTTAATTTTATAAGTTTAAAGTAATTATGAGGGTAAGTGAATATTATAAACATTAATTGAACATGTCAATCACGTATATCTATTTTTTGTCCCTAGTTATTTGGTTACCTTATTAGATTTTATTTTCTGTTTCCGTAAAATTTGATTTTAATCTAATCAAGTTAAGAGAAATTTCAAAAAATGCCACTTTTCAAGTGACACTTTACAAAAATGCCACACTTTTGAAATCTTTACAAAAATGCCACTTTTTCAAAATTATTTTTTCTTTATATTATTTATGTTTGGGTTAATTATGTTCTATTAGGGTTTTGTTTTGAGTGTTTAGGGGGTTTTAGGTGTCAAAACATTTTTTAGGGTTTAGAATTTTAAGATATAGGCTTTATAAATCTATAATTAGTGGCATTTTTGTAAATTGACACTCCTAAGTGGCATTTTTGCAAATGTGCACAAAAAATGGCATTTTTGTAATTGCCCCAAAATATTTTAGTAAAAAAAACTTTAAACTGAAAACTTAATGAATAAACCCCTCAAGTAAAGTTTCGATAATGGAAAAACTCTCTCCTTCGATAGTACTGTCAAAATAGTAAACGACTGTTATTAACTCGATACTATGCACTGATGAAAAGACTTTTGTTCGGTTTATGAGTCAAACCTAGAATCACTAATCCGATGTAGAATAGGTAGGTTCGTTCAAAGGGACCAGCAATANACTNTAATCNTATGNNANACNAATTCAGCTAAGNNATCAANNNNGTTNNAGTTGTCACGATTAATCAAGCAATTAAAGTAAATTCG